TTACTGGAAACAGGATTAAATTTTATTTAAGAAACATACCCGCTAAGACCTACCTTCTTGAGACAGATTTGAATTTTCTAGTTGATAATAAACCAGCACGGCTATTTGCAGATTTTCTGAGGATTCCACATTTTGGATCTCGTTTGATTGCAAGAGTGAAATTTTGGTAGAAAGAAAATGAATTCTCGATAATTGAATTGTTTTTTTGGGAATTGTCAATTAATTGTGTTTTATTAGTATAATTTTTCATGTGGAAAATATTAAAATTTTGGATCTTTTTGTGTTCGTTTGGCTTTGTTTTACATGAAAATTGTCTATTAAAGGGATAAAATTTATTTTTATTGTCAAAAAAATATAAAAAATATAAAATAAAAAGTAAACTGGAAAATAAAATCCCACTAAATTGGTGGGAATTGATTTTCATCAAAAACAAGGAATTGAAACCTTGTGAACCAAAACCAAGAAAATTTGTATACAAATATGCCTAAAGTGGAAGATGGAATTTCTTTTCCATTTTTCATGGAACTTTCGGTCAATCAAATAGGGCATATTTGATTTTCTAATGATATATTTTGAAAATTTAAAAAGTATTGTAAATGGTAAGCTCATTGGTGAATGATAGTTGTAACTCTACAACTTTAGAAATTATTATCATTATATCTATAATCATTCCCTATATATATAACATTTTGGTTCTCAATAAAATACACATAAATCTATTGATTTTCCCTCTAATTTATAACATGTTATCGGCACGACTCTCTCAAAATCAAAATAAATTAGTTAGAACGTAATAGGTTTTATGAGCATAATCATTTATTTTGTATATCAAAATTAATTTGATAACACGTGAATTTTATGTATACATATATTGGAAAGATATTCTTTCCGTCGCAATGATTATGTGACCCTGTCCCAATTTGTTTCTTGTTCTGCCGCCAATCATTCACCCGAAAAAGTGTTTGCCAAATTATTTGTAGAATTTTGATGTCAATCTCGATGTACAAATAGTAAAACTTATAATTGGGCATAACGGTTTTCACGTATTCTACTGTTTTGTTAATGTATTTTAGTCAAAGTTAGGATTCAAAGATGCTGATTACTTCCCATTCCAAATTATTATTATTTTAATTTACTAATGCCATGTCTGCGTATGAATTCATATGTACAAGACAAAAATTAATCTCCCACAATTCAATAAAAAAACTGTGCAGTGGTTTCAGCCCTTGTTTCAGCTTCATTATTTGGCAA